GCGTCCGTGAAACAAGAGAAATCAACTATCAAAAAAATTTTTCTCTGACCAAATACGACCCCCCCCTCCCTCGCGGTCAAATACGACCCCCCCCCTTGTGATGATCACAACGATGGCGTGCCCTGGCAGTGGCTTGGTCAGCACTCTGTGCTGTAGTTTCTCCTCACCTCACGAGGAGAAGATGTATGGAAAGCGTATAGAGCTTTCTAGGTGGAAATGTGGGTTTTGCAGGGGGAGATCCTCAAGCTGCAGCTGAAGCTGACTTTCAAATGGAAATCCACGACGGGCGAATTTTTATTGTAGTCAAGCTACAGCTACGATGTTGAGCTCGTTGGAAAGAGAAAGCATTCCACTTCCCAATTCCTTGTAGATATCCCTTCAACACTATGTCCGAACAAAGTGATGACCTTTAAAGGGTACAAAACTCGCGTTTGCCGAAAATTCTCCGCATTACTTTTGTGATTTTCCGCGACGAGCGAATTTTTGCTGTAATTGAGCTACAGCAAAGCAGTAGCATCATATCAAAAGAGGAAACCCTGTTTCCCAATGCCTTGTATATCTCGCTTCCGCATTGTGTCTGAAAAAAGTTATTTCCATCGAAAGGTGAAGAACTCTGCCCCAAATGCTCCGCGTATTTTCTGGCCAGAAGCCGTCATGCAAGCTTGATGAAACTTGTAATGTACTCCGTATAGAGCCCTGCCATACTCCTTACCGTTCTGCAAAAGATGGTTTCTGAATGAAGTCATACATTTTCAAAAATACTATGAGAATAGGCAACAGCCGACAACGCTCTAATCCCTACACGCGACGCGACCGCATGCGCTCAATCCCTCAGCTTCATGTTGCTTCGCATGAACGGCGTCAATGTAAGATTTTCCGGAGTTTCACTGTGTGCATTAGACTACTTCTGAGGAACTCATCTTTTCAATTTTCAGGGCTTCCGCACGATTTTATTTGGTAAATGTTCCCAGATATCAAGTAGTTAATCGGTAAAATTTGCATAAAAACAGAGCACATCTCTCCAAACACTCCACCGTCACTAAGTGGGGAGGGGTCGTATAGACACTCCTTTCAGGAGGGACGTTGTACCAACCCACCCATTTTCCACGACGTGATGCTTGACCCTGCTTGCAGTAGTGTCTGATGAGGCATAGGTTTTCGTGACTTCTGCACGACTTCTTCGCACGGTCCATTGCGCAGTACCGCACGCGCAACTGTCAACAACTGCGATGTTTAAAGGACCGTCTTCGCAGTCCGCACTGGGGTCTCACCGCGCAGCAGTCTCTTCGCTGACCATTCGACGCAACTCCCCATTTTGGGCCCACGTGCGTTTTTTGGGCTGAAGTTCATGCAGTGGAGTTTGCAGTCGTCCGTCTGTCTATCGCAGTCGTCGTCCGTCTCCCTTTACCTCCTACCCACGAGCCTGAGGCTCGTCCTTGCCCAAGCCTGACCCATCGCCCCACGTCTCGCGCAGTTGCCACCCTGGGGCAACTCTGTCTTGCGCATCTCGTACGCCCGAGGATCACCGCAAATGGACTTGAGAAGATTGGGATCGCAGGCAGCTGGAGAGCCTCCATGGCCCCGTTATAACGCAGGCAGCCGGCACGTAGGTTTTTAGCTTTGCTAGGTGTTTTTCGATGTAGAATTAATGATAAATAACCCTTCGTGATTTTTTTTCTTTTTCTTCGTTGCCACGTGTTCAAGCACGTTTTTACATATGATTGGTGTATTATTCCTTGCAATTGATGTGTAGTTTTACGTACTTGGTTGACAGTTCTTTATCGATTAACCTTATTGACCCCATTAGGTTGCCCGCAATTGATTCATGTGAAGGGAAACGCTTGATGGCACTCTCCATTAGGTTGCCCGCAATTGATTCATGTGAAGGGAAACGCTTGATGGCACTCTAAGTTGTAGGACTGAACAGGAGCGCAGAAGCTTACCCCACAGACCCACAAGTGGGCGCAGGAGGCATTGAGACCAAGGGGATGAGGACCGCAAGCGTTGCCGCGTGGCACGGGTTGATACCAGGCGAGACCCCCCTCCCCCCCTTGACGCCAAAGGACCCAACACGACGCGCACTCCCTAGGGGCCACCGCAAGAGGGAGCCGCGTCGCGACATAGGTGATAAGTATTGATTTAGTTCGAAAACGCTAGTTTGGTTTGAATGGTTTGGAAAGTCGTGGATTTAATAGGAAAAGTCGTGCATTCTTGTTCGAAGTCGTGAATTTGAAATGAAAATGGTACATTTGATTCAACTAGTGTAGGACAAGCAGATGCATATGGTGGTCCACCAGTCTCCCATTTGCTTCCGTAATGGAACAATGAATCTAGTAGTTGCTGACGCTCCACCAAAAAAAGCCGCTATATCATGTTGCAAAATATTAATGCGCTTGAAAGATATCAAGCGAGATCTTAAGTAGTTATAAGTTCACAAACATGCTGTCAGTATGACTTGACCGCATTTAATAAGTTGTTTGGAATACCTCGAAGGCAAAATCTTTGGGATCGCAGGTGCTAAAACGACGCCTGAACTGAAATTCATGTCCTTGCTGGGCTTCGAGCTGGCAGTCTTGACTGCGGTCAAAATGGATCTGAAAGCCGCCATCAATATACGCATCCTGTAAAATAGTTTGAGAATGTGGGCGCGTTCTTTACAGTAATCACTTCGAGAAAGCATACCTTCAGTTGTCCACCTTGATATATACAAATATCAGAGTTATTCTGGTATCCATGATCGGAGAAGCCAATTATGATATATTCAAGGAGACTTTTCGATTGAGTCACAGTAAATAATACTGATTGGTCCATGAAATCAACTTCCCATTTGAGGAGTATACTCGAGGAGTCCAACTGCGCTTCCACCTGAAGAATGTGTAACACCAAATTCTACCTGTTTTTCAAAGCATGCCTCTACGAGCTTTCGAGACACAAGTATACTTAAGGAGACTAGTTTCCTTAGAAGGGGGAGGGGGGGGGGAGATGGATCATTTTGTGAACACCCGTCAATAACATTAGATTTTTGCGTAAAACCCTGCGATTTTTTTGCAGAGCTCGGGAATAATGTCCGCCAAGCCAGTTCTCAAATTTTCTGCTTGAGCGCTGATCTCCATTCATGGTCACGCTTTCTGAAATTCATTGCCCGTCTTGATCCGAAATTCCACCAGTAGGTTGGTTCCTTTCAAAACTTCGTGGGGTCATATGTGAAATGGCGATAAGGAGGGGGGGGGGGTCGTGTCTGTAGGTCTCAGTAATGAACAAAACAGTGGCAACATTAGTGAACCTCCTCGCTTTTGTGCCTCTCCGCGGAGCACGGTCTACTGTCAAGTTGGAGATGCTGGCAAATCAGTTCATTGCAATTGAAACTGCAAGACATCGAAGAGATATACTTTGTGATAATGTATAATAATAATAATTATCAGAAAATCGCGAATTTCCCGTATTCAGACTGGCAACGCATTTCATAATACAGTCGTCATCCGGGAACTTGATTAGGGCGGCAAGGGTCGCGACGCGGCTGCGGCGTGTCACGAGCGCGGCGATCAGCTGTTTCCAGCCTATTTTAGCCATTTTCTCCCTAATTTACACTGTTATGGCTGCTTTTCTCGAGATTAGTTGTTCCTTGTCTTCACAAGGTAAATTATGATTGAGATTCCTCTGTTTTTTTTGCGCACAATTGAACAGTTAGGCAGACAGTTGAAAAACACCTGGAAAAAATCGCAAAAACACTACTAGAGACAAAAAAATTCACGCCTTTATGTATTTCATAAAGACAGTAAAAGGACTAACCTCAATAAATTAGAAACTGCAGTTATCACAAGAATGCTGAGTTGTGGGCAAAAGTCGTGCCCCAGGCGGGAGTCGAACCCGCACCTCACGCTTTCCGGGCGAGTGCGCTATCCGTTACGCCACCAGGGCCGCTTTTACCCTCTGGAGGGACGAGAGGATGTTTAACGTACTGCGGCGTTAAACAGCAGTTATCATAACAAAACAGCTTCAGAAACTGCAGTAAAAAATTAGGGAGAGAATGGCCAAATTAGGCTGGAAACAGCTGATCGCCGCGGTCGTGACGCGCCGCAGCCGCGTCGCGACCTTGGCCGCCTAATCAAGTGCCCGGATGACGACTATAGCTGGAGGACACGAATTCAAGGGAGACTGCAGGAGTGAGACCGCACTGGATGTTATGACCACAGCTTAATGCAAGAGACATCATGGCGATGGCGGGAATTGCGTGCAAGTGTGGCTTTTCCCCAGAAACACGATATCGGTACGGCTCTCACCCCTTCTGAGCGAACTGTAAGCGTTGCACTCTAATGTACTCGTGCCATGATGGCAGCGTTGCGTGCACTGCGTTGGAGCAGAATTATAGGGTAAACTGATGAGCAATTGCATGATCCTCTTTTTTGAACAATCATAATTTCCTGATAATCACACCGATTTGCAAAACAGAATCAGTTTTGTAGCTTGTCAGGTTTCATTTTTTTTTCAAATACAATGAAATCGTTGCACATACGCAAGTGTCAAAATACTCTATTTGTTTTGAGAATCAAGGCTGAGTCTTTATGTCATAAACAAACAGAACAAGTGCCATTACCTTTCGGGAGCAAGGGGGGAAGGGGGAAAGGTGGAGGGAGAGCACTGCTGTAAATCCCCGCAGGCATACCGAAATGATACGAACGACAACCAGTTCCCTTTGAGCGACCATGTAGCACGAAACGGTTGAAATTGGCAACATACGGTGAAAGTTTGGCGCTGTTCAGTACCTGTGGAATGCACCACGCATTTAGCTTCTAAGGTATCTCAAAAGTTTAAGCTTTTCTGAGGGCAAGTTTAAGCTGTCTCAGGGCAAGTTTAAGCTGCAAAAGAGGTTCTTGGATTGCGACCGATTCCGTTATTCAACTACTGCTTTTGAATAGAAAAGCGTGGATTTTAGATAAACTCAATACAGTTGTGGTACAATCATTCTCAACACACAATATTCGTTCCACTTACAAGGGAGGTCCTTCAGGGCGTGGTGAGCTTTTTCGAAATGGTGTTGTGCATATTGTGTTACAACGGTCGCGTCGCGTGCCGTGGCATTTTAGCGAGCTATTTCACATCAGAATCCAGTTCCAAGCCAAACACTTTAGATGCACCCTTCGCCTGAACATCCTAACTTCTTTGAGAATGAAACTTTTGAAGAAGGGAAAGCAGGGCGGTGGAGCATGGAGCACCAGGTGGCACTTACTACCTGAGTTCAAGCAGTTTGAGTAATAAAGACTCTTCTCGAGGAACTTACTCCGGTATGATCTCGTTGTGACATTTGGGGGTCATTTACAAGTCCTTACGCTTTGACAGCCATAACAAGCTTCATACAAGGCCATTTGTAAAAAAAAAGCAGTTACGGAATTCAGAAGGTTTCTACTTTCTAGCAAAACTTTCGCTCTCCCTAGATGTGGGTGCAACCGCTTTCGGACGACACGAAAACCCATTCCTCCAGCGCAATACCACTTCCAAGTCGTTCGAGGACTTTGATAGCTTCTAAAACACATGTTTCCGCCAAGGGTATCAGGAAGTAGTTCATTGGCGCCAATTGGCATCACCTCTGTAATGCGCCATGCATAGGGCTCTCACGCAGAGGTATTGGGAAGTTGCAACATTTAGATAGGGCTTCCTTGGTGAAAGCAGATGTGCTCCTATGGTCCGGAACTGTATATGCATCTGTTAATTAGTTCATGACGTCATTTGGGCTGCCATCGTATTTCCTGCAATCGCCCGTTCCCCACTTCTGCGCTGGCAGGTTGCTTCTGTCTTGTGTGTGTCTCTTCAGCTGTTCTGAGTAAGTCTTTCATCACTTAAGCTGAACGACATCTGAGTATCCCTGCACTCCCCATTTCAGAAAGGGCTCCGCGTTTACTACCCCCCCCCTCAATTCAAATACTGTCCCCTGTTGTGGTTATCACAACGATGGTGAGCCCGGCGTCACTGTCATCCGGTCGGCTGGTCGCCTCTGGCCCCACTACCCTCCATCGCCACTCGATCGTGATATCTTCCACTCAGCTTTACTAGTAAACTCGTTATTCATGCGTGTTCTGTTTAGCAGCAGCATGGGCCTGAGCGAGGTGGAATGTCCGCCCATATTAGTAAATGCAAAATTAGTGTGAGCAGAATGCAAGCAGATATGTTGCTGGTGTTCAGTAGGGTCCGCGTTCACAGATTGCGTGGTGCGGTGGCGAGCAGTCTCTGTACCCGCAAACCTTACCGAACCCTAGAAACACATCTGCTCTCACGGAAAAGGGTTACATAAGTGTGCCCTTTTTCACATTTGCGCATTAGTGAAATGCATGGAGTAATACAGGTACTGAATCAGTCGACGCCCAGTGAACTATTTCCCTTTCAGTTCTACGAGTAGATGAGTTCTGGATGCACACTTGAGACTATAAACGAATTAGAAAAGCTAAGCTGGGTTCCCCAGGGTTTCTTAATTTTCACAGCCGCAAAACGAGGACTTTTCGCACCAGTTGACCTACGCAAAAAACAGAGAGAAACTACCAGACTCATAGATTGCTCCTCCGGTTTGCAAATGGTCACATATGAAACAAGTAACGGGATCTTAAGTTCATGAAAACTCAAACATGACACTGAATTACCGTAAAAATACCGCGACGGAGACAAGAAGTAGAATACTCAGAGCATTTTCAGCGAAATCTAATAAGAGTAACACTATTAGCACCGAGAAACTCTGTCTTTACTCTATCAAATGCTCCATTGTTAAGGGAGTTATGGTATTCAGAAAAGGGTGCTCATGTTAGTTCTTGAATTTGGTTGTTCCCTGTTGTTCCCGTTGTTCCCTGGAATACGCTATCTCGAAACAGGGATTCGAGATAGCGGGTTCCAGGGAACAACGCTAGTCGAGAGCGAGTGCAAGTTGGTACGCCATCGCTTCGTGATAAATTTGCTGAATACGACCCCCCTATCCGAAAACGGGTCTCGCTACGGTCCCCTCTCCCTCACAAAAAAAAACAAAAAAGACAAAAAGATGAATGATTTCAGACGGGATACTCAAATTCCAGAGGCAGATCCTTCGTCTCTTATAATAATCTAAGCTACAGCTACTGAAAAAAAAACTCGGAAGAAGCCAAAAAAAATCGGAACTTCTTATAAAATTATTACTTGATTTTCCTTGATTCATGTATCGAAATATTGTGAATATAGATAAAGTATGCCTGGAAGAACCGTTCGCAGATCAGTAAAAGGGACCAAACACAGAAGTACTCGAAATCTAGGTTCCTGCAGCTAAAGCCAGCGTATGACGTCATGACCTGGTGAAAACATCACATCAGCCCCATCAGGCATCTTCGGAATGACTTGAAGAATACGTCAAAGGAAAGAACTTTATCAACAGGAGTGAGCAGTTCCATGCATTTTGAGGAATTTGAAGCCAAATAGTGGATGCCCCTGAAGCTGAATAATGGATGCCCCTGAAGCTCCTATGGACCCGATTCCACAGATAATAAAGTCCAAATTCAGAGAGTTAAATAGTATTTTCTTGTTAAAAGCTTGCTATCTGCTCACCTTTCCTTTGTATTGCTGTTGAATAAAAGCTTAAAAACTATTCAGATCTTTCGACTTGTTCCAAGTTTTTTTTCTGCAGGTGTATAGAAGTGTTGTGGACTGCAACGGACAACCCTGTGTAAGTTTCACGTCAGATGGTGGTAAGGTAGCAGTTACAAGGCACAAGGTTGCTCAACTGACTACGTCCACGTTGGAGATGTCTTATCTGCTGCCTTGCTCGTTTGCATGCTCTCTCGCTGTTTTCTCTGGCCTTTCGCTCGACATGCACACTGATTCTATATATCTCGCTTGGCACTAGCTGGGCCTTATGTAGAGCGTTTTCGACGGTTTCTTCTCCTTTTCGTTTACGAGCAAGTCGCGCAACACTTTTGGTTTACAACCCGGCTCCCATTTAACTGTTCATAGGTTCAGAGCAAAGTCCACCTCCAAATATTTGTGAGACATTTAACGGGCGACCGAAAACCCACCTCTCCGACGAAATAATTTTCCCAGTTCGCTTAAAGATCTTGGTACGCTTCTAAAACATTTTCTACGAGATTATCGGGAAGCAGTTCATTCGGCGCCGATTGGCACCACGTTCGTAACGGACCATGCATCCGACTCCCCCGCAGGGGTAATGGAAGGGTATACTCTTTCCTCAATAATATCAACTTTTCAGCCCCATTCATCGGTTGTGCTCTTAGAACGATTCCGAGTGGGACGAAGGCATAATGTGGTCATCAGCAAACAAACTTAGGGAATTACATATTGTCGGATACCTACCCGCACACCACTGGCAAGTATGCGGCGGTGCGAAAAAGTATTTGTAAGGTCATCAGGTGAGGGTGATACGGCAATCTTTCACACGACTTTATTTAAAAGGTTGGTACCCATGAAGAGGAGTTGAAAGAGGAAAAAACACGGCGAGTTATTGCTGAAGAACCCGTATCAGTGCACCCACAGCAGCGGGAGGAAACAATCTCAGTACATTTTACTCATCATTCTCAATGTTGAAGCGTTGCTTGATTCCAGAAAAAAAAGAGAAGATGGATCGGTCGGAGGTAGGAATTCTGAATATGTTACAAGCACATGGGGAACTATCTCAAAGTAGCCATTTCATAGGATCACTGTCCCGCTCGTGTGCCCGCGATGGCTGAAGAAATTATATTAAATGATAATAACACTGAGCCGAGCATCTACGGCGAAGAAATGAAATCAAATGGAGCGAAAGAGCAATATGTGAGGGAGCATGAGTAAGTTCGAAATTCTTTGTTTTATCAAAACATGGAGAATAGTCTTTTTTTCAGATTCTGTTCCCGGTGAAGATAGGTGATAGATATTGATTGTCATTGACTGTAATTGTTGATTCTAATAGTTGTTGTGTGTGTAATTGTTGAATGGCTGATTGCAATTGTTAATTGTAATGATTGTTGAATGGCAAATTGTTGAATGGTTTAGTGGCGATAATGTTGAATGTTGATTATAATCACTGTGATAAAGCAGAAGTTTTGTGCGTCGGTTTGTCGGTCTGTCGGTATGTATGTTTGTGTGTATGTATGTGAGTATGTGTATGTTTGTCCGTCCGCAAAATGCTTCACGGGATTCAACATGTAACTGAAAGGAGAAAACGACCGCTAGCCAATCTAGGAACCTTTCGGTGCAGATGTATCAATCCATTGTTTTGATTGCGATAACACCACTATATTAAGACAACCACAATGCACTCTGAGCCATTGCTCGGGCTGCTCGCGTGGCAGCCTGGCGTGGGTGCAGTGGGGCAGGGTAAGGAGAAGCAGGGGTTAGGGGCATGGGATGAACCTAGACGAGGGAGGAAGGGGTGGAGCGAGGAGAGTGAGGTTACTGGGCTGCTTGGCGGCTGAACCTGGGTGCAGTGGGACAGGGTAGGGAAGGGCAGAGGCGAGGGGGCATGAGGAAGAAGATAGGCGAGGAAAAAGAGGCCAATGGTGAGGGCGGGGGGGGCCTGGAGTGCGCTTCAACAGCAGCACACCATAATGGTGAAAAGAGAAGCGTTAGTGAAAGCGAAAAGAAGAAAGGAGGGATCAACTCCATGGTCATGTTGTGCTATAAATTTAAGGTAATATTGCGAATGCGAATACATACCGCTGTATAAAACAATCATTCCGTGTTCGAGCCATTGCACAAGCTGCTCGCGAGGCAGCTGGACGTGAGCGCGTGGACGGATCAGGGGGAAGGGATTGAAGCACTGGAGGGGTTGGGAGTGGGTGGGTGTTTTGTAGGAAGCGTAGAGTTTAACATGAGCACACAGCGAATTTATTGAAAGCGATTGGTTGGAGGAAAGAAGAAACCACCGCTAGCAAAGTTGCGAACCAACTCATATTGCGGTATCAATTCGGGGTAGTGTTTTGAATGTGATATCACCCTTTTACTCAAACGTTTCAGTACTGAAGAAAATGAATAATAGGGGGGCAAAGAAAATGTACAGTTAAGCTACGTGGCAAAATACGAGCATTTGCAGTCTCTGTGCGACATGACTGAATGGAGTGGAGCGCCATGTTCAGTTCCTTCCTTCCGATCCGGGACCGCCTGCCGCGCAGGCAGCGTAATGATAGCGTAGTGGCAATGATGCGCGCTACCATTTGCATGGTGGGGAGACCGATACCTACCGCCATGGAAGTTTTGCAAATAGCCTAGCGAAGCTCGTGGTTTCCACTGTGGTTGCCTCGCTCATACATCGCTCGTTGTTCTGCATAACCGCGAGCAACTCATCACATTTGATTGCGACTTTTAGGTAGATTACTATCGTACCTGGTTTTTGGTTGTATTCCATTGGCACTGTGAGCGGGTCATTGAAGAGCGATATGATAAACCTAAGGCTAAAATATTAAATTGTTACCTGATAAAACTTTGCACTTTTTGAATAAGCCAGAAGTTGCAAACGTGCTTTTGATTATGAGGAACCTAATAATAGACTTCTGCGGATATGGGCCTGCCCGCCGGAAAGGTATCTAATTATGGTCGTGCAACATGTTTTTGAAAAGCATTTGAGCTGTCCAGCTGGTTGGTGGCAGTCGAAAACCTTCCTACTAACCAACTAAATCAGTTCCTCTCTCTTTTTTTCTATCCAGGAGACTAGAATAAAAAAAACTGTTTCACCTCGTTTCCGCAACTTGCTTTCTTTATAAATAGTAGCATTAAAACTACCAGAGCTGAGACGAGTTCCATTCTCGCACGGCGAGCAGCAGACAGAGGCCGTGTTAGAACTTCCTGCCACTGGAATACTTCCACTGAGTGACTTTATCGGAGTAGCACATATGGCAATATCTACAGACGCTTGGAAAAGAAAAATACCGTATTATAGTGCAAATCAAAATTACGAGTGAAATGTATGCAGGAGGTCAAAACTGGGTACATAGAATTTCCGGTAGTCTGAGCAAAAAATATGCTAACAGGATATATCGGATCAAAGGCGAGTCACACTTGAACTTGGTGCTGAAGAACGACGCCAAGATGAAGCATTCTTTGAAATTCTATCTGATTAGCTTGAGATTATGAGCAGAATTAAGAAATTCCCGGAAAAGCAATTATTCATCAGTATAGATGAGGCTTCTGTACTGCTTTTGGAGTTGAGGGATACCCTGGTTAAACAAGGACTTGATAACGGCTTCTGCCTTGACGTTCCAAGATAACATCTTATACTCTCGTGATTCTTCACTGAGCTTCGTTACCGAGTTGACTTTCTTCGGAATCCTGTTTGCTTGCATGGCTGTCCTTCATGTAGTATTCTGCCCACCCCCATTTAGGATGACTCGAGTGGAAAATTTGTAGATAACGAATAATGGCATTGTAGCAACCAAAGAGGGATCTTGCACAGTCTCCCTTCAATCGTGAGCAACAACAGGAATTATTCTCCAATACCCCCCCCCTCCCGTTTCTTTCTTTGTAAGATTATGCGTTGCTTTAAAAATGAAATAAAATGCAGCTGTGTTATCGAGACGGGTCAAACAGGCTACATTGCGGAAAAATCGCCTGCCTGCAATGCAAAACGACAACGAACGTTCCATGTAGAACTGAGGAAAGATTATACGTCCATGTTTTCAAGGGACTCCGCTGGTACCTCACTAGATTATGATAAACACACCTTCATATTAAAAAATATCGTGGAACTGAGCTGGTCGACCTGAATGTGGACTAAAATATGGCAGAAAATCCGGAACCTACTGAGAACACAGAAGAAATTAAATTGGACAGTCGTCGCCGTACCCAGAGGTCGAAGAGCGACATTCATGCCAGTTATGAGGAGGAGGCTGCTACCTCATCGAAGCTCGTCATTTCTTCTACCACAGAGTTTGCCGGAAAAGCGAATTTTACAGTGCCAACGCTTTTTCACTTTATCTACATGGAACATGAGATATGACAGTGCTACGCCTGACGAAGGATTAATCCGTCCATGAATTGAGTTCTCCACAGTTTGGGAGCGGTATCGTAGGTGGAAGTATGATTGCGTGGCTAGGCTATGGGTGTTGATTACCTTTCGGAAGTTTTAACAGCTTTAAAGCTCCTCTGTTTGATTAATTTCAGTTTTAAGACAAGAAATTCACGGTTTACTTGAGCAGAGATATCAAGCTTCATAGTTTGGGATGGTTCTCTCAAACTGTATCTGTCATAGTGCCATAAGGGTCACTCATGTACAACTCAGATAATACACTATGAAAAAAAAACAGTCGCAAGGAAGGGACTTGCTTTTACAGAGGAAACATGATGTGGCTTTATTGCGTTTGTGAAGTGACTGGCATCTGAAAGATAGGGACGGTCAATTCGAACGACCACTTGAATAGCATTCTACTTAAACTACTTGTCACTTTCAGCCATGTCAGCTCCATCCCTTTCTCTTACTGCCTCAATTTTGCTCATCTCATACGTGTTGCAGTGCATTGATTGGCGCGAAAACTATTCTACATCATTGAATGCTAGTTGAGATGGTCTGCTGTGTCGAAAGACTCCAACTGATAGCGAGCACCTTCTAATATATCCCAAGGCCTCTTAGATAAGTCGGCCATTAGATAATTTCAAGCAAGGTTGCGATCACCGCTCGTGCGAACACTGAAGGGGACGCTTTGATCTTAGAATCAAATGTTGTTTTCTAAAGAGCAGATTTTGAAACAATATCTTTAGCAGATGTGATCATAAAGACAGACAGTAAAGATTTGGTGATCGAAGAACTGGTGAGTGATTGGATAGAATAACCTTGGACCAGGCAACAGAAAGATTAGATACTTTGTTGTAAAGCAAGTTCAAAACCCTAATGCATTTTCAGTTAAGGGGAGTGTGTTAGTTCCGAAGCAAATGGTGGAATAGAAATTGATTCAAATTGGTACCAGCAAGTATCCACCTGCAAGTGAATTGAGAAGGAGACCGAAGCTCCTCCTTCTCCCTAGCCTTAGTCCCGCGCCGTCGCAGGGTCCGCTGTTCTTGTTAGACGTCGCCATTTGTTCCGATCCACTGCATCTTCTGCCGTGGCTTTCACTTCAGTGAGGTCCTTCTTGATGACGTCCCTCCATCTTTTCTTTGGGGCTCCTCGTGGTCGCTTGCCCTCTGCTTCGAATTCCAATGCCTTCCTTATTGGGTGGTCTTCAGGCCTCCTCAGTACGTGCCCATACCATCGCAGTCGCTGCTCTCGTGCCTTCAGCTGGATCGGAGCCGTCTGTGTGATCCCTAACGTCCTCGTTTCTGACTCTGTCGAGACGTGTCCAGGCGCATGGTTTCTGCAGATAGGCCAGCACTCACTGCCGTAGAGCATTGTAGGCCTTACCACCGCCCGGTACACCTTGCCCTTGAGCGTTCTCGAGCACCGCCGGTCGCACAGGATGCCAGTGGACTCCCTCCATTTCATCCAGGCTGCGTTGATTCGGGCTTTCACCGCCTGATCCACGCTGCCATCAGCTGCTAGGTCGCTCCCCAGGTACTGGAAGTCCTCGACCCTTTCGATGCTCTCGCCGTGACGGTCTACGATGGGTTCGGTACACTCTTCAGAGCTCAGGAACTTGGTCTTCTTCACGTTCAACCGGAGTCCATTCTCAGCGAGCACATCCTGCCACCGCTGCACCTTGTCCTGGAGTTCTTTCCTGCTGTCCGCTATCAGGGCGATGTCGTCAGCGTAGAGGATGGTTTTCAGTGGTCCCTCCATGAGTTCTTTTGCCATGACATCTAGAGTCAGGAGGAAGAGGAACGGGCTGAGGGCTGATCCTTGGTGTACCCCAACCGTGATGTTTACCTCCTTTGTCAAGCCGTGCGGGGTGCGTACAGCTGCTTTAGCCCCATCGTACATGTCCCTCACTATGGAG